AATGTAAAAGGGTATACATTGGAAAATGGGAGGAATATAAAGTTTGTAAAAAATGACAAAAGAAGATTGAGGCTGAAGTGCTTTGGTGCAAAAGGAAAATGCTCATGGACCATATACTTTGGTTATATGGAGGCTATAAAATCATGGCAGTTGAGAACTAAAACAGACATTCATACATGCAACGGGGAGTTCAACCTGAAGCTACTTGATGCCAAGTGGTTGAGGAAAATGTTGTTGAAAACAGTAAGGGAAAATCCTAAAATGAAGGGTGTAGAAATTCGTGAAAAAGTTCAAAGGAAGTGGAACATTGGTATATCTAGGTGTATGGCTTATAGAGCCAAAGCTATTGCTTGTGATGACATTGATGGGTCTTTTAATGAACAATATAAGAGGATATATGATTATGCGCATGAGGTGTTGGGAAGAAATCCAAGATCTACAATTAAGGTGGAGGTTGAGAATAATCAAGATGAGGTTATTTTTAAGAGATTTTACTGTTGTATGAAGGCATGCAAAGACAACTTTGTGTGTTGTAGGTGAATAATTGGATTAGATGGAGCCTTTTTGAAAGGGAAGTATGGTGGTGAGCTATTAACAGCTGTTGGGCGAGATGGAAATGATCAAATGTTGCCCATTGCATATGCGGTGGTAGAAGGAGAAAACAAAGATTCATGGACGTGGTTTTTTAATCTTTTGATTGATGATCTTGGTGGTGAAGAAGTATGTTCATCAATAACTTTTGTTTCAGACCAACAAAAGGTAATAACCATATTTAATTTGCTTGTTTCGTACATTCAATTATTAATTTGATATGGTCGTAACTGTTCTTTTTTATTTTAACACCACAAGGTCTACTACCAGCCATACAACAGCTACTCCCTGGTGTTGACCAGAGGTTTTGTGTCAGACACTTATATTCAAACTTCAGGAAAAAATTTCCAGGTAAAAATCTCAAACGTCTGATGTGGAGGGCAACTACTGCCACTCATCCAGAAAATTGGGAGAGGGAAATGTAAAACATTAAAGATGTAAATGAAGATGCATTCAAGCATTTGATTGCCATCCCTCCAAGGTTCGTATTTTGTATTGTTTTATTTTCCCTTTCTAATTTTAACCACTTATTCATTTAAGTCTGTAGCTGTGAAATCATACCATGTAGAACTAGATATTAGGTGCAAGTTTAATACCGGTATATTGAGTAGGAGAAATATGTTTACAATGTACTTATTACTCTAAACATTTGTTTATATCATATGGTGTAGATACTGGTCCAGGTCCAGATTCAGTCCAACACCAAAATGTGACACATTAATCAACAATATGAGTGAGGCTTTCAACAGTGTCCTGATTCACACCAGGACTAAACCAATCCTAACAATGTTGGAAGAAATTAGGCTCTACATCATGCAAAGATGGGCAAAAAATAGGTGTAAGATACAATCTTTCTCAGGATCAATTTGTCCAAAGATCCAAAACAGATTTACAAAGGAATCCCAAGCAACCAAGAACTGGATCCCTAGGTAACTTTCTTCTCCACTTCTTACATGTGTTTGGTACTTTCTTCATTCCTAGGTAAGCTTTTCTAATTTTATTTTATAATTTTTTTCACAGCTGGTCAGCAAATAAACTCTTTGAAGTCAGACACGTCTCCTAGAGTGGAGAAAAAATTGTTGTAAACATAGACGAGTCTTCATGCTCCTGCAGGATATGGCAGATCACAGGAATTCCATTTTGCCACTCCCTAGCCGCAATGAAGTTTCTCAATATTGATGGACAACAGTTCATTCTGACTTGCTTTCTAAAGTCCACCTATGAAGAAACATATGCATCTATCATATATCCCATCAACGGAAACAAAATGTGGGCCCATGGACCATATCCGGATCTCATGCCTCCTAGAAAAAAATTTATGCCTGGAAGACCTAAAAGGAAAAGAAGGCTGGAACAGTGGGAGATGAGAAAAGATGATTCTCGAGCGAGCAAGGGTGGTTTGCGCAAGAGATGCAGGTTGTGTAGGGAGGTTGGGCACAACATGAGTTTTTGCCCTAAAGCAACTCAAGAACCAATCATCCCATCATCACAATTATCTGAAGTTTGTCAACAACCTGAAGCTCAAACATAGAAGTGTGTATGAATGAGAATGATGCCAAGTTTATGCATCTTATTATGTAATAATTGACTTCTAAGGAACAATGTTGATGGTTTTTTTGTTATGTACTTAATGAATGATAGTGATGCCAAGTCTGTATGTTTTTGGATGTTTGTACTTTTTTTAGTACATTGAAGATATACTATTGTCATTGAAAAAACACTAATGTGTTGATTGTTATCAGTTTGATTGTTATTAGTTTCATATCAGTTTCATTGTTATCAGTTTCATATCAGTTTGATAGTGTGTTGGTCTCAATGCCTACGAGAGTGTGTTGGCCAAGGTTTTAAAATTGTTTTTCCATTCACATTAGACACCACATTCAGTGGATCATGATTCCAGAGCACCAATTGATTCCAAAACTGGATGGTCAAAGTTTAATAGTTGATTCCAAAGCACCACATTCAGTGGATCATTCAGTGTAATAGTTGATTCCAAAACTGGATGGTCAAAGTGTGCTGTACTCATCCACTGTCAATTTCTTAATCCAAATATAACTACAAAACAGGCTTTTAACATGCACTCTTTTCAGTACATTAATTATTTAAACTCTTTTAATAGTTTACAATTGTACCACAAATTTATAAGCCACTCTAACATTGTTTTACTTCCAATTGTATCGCAAAATTATCAAGCCACAGACCAAGGAAATTGTGCCAAGTTCAAGTTGAAGACAATACACAAAAATTGTCGCTCAAACAGTACACAACTTCATTCCTTTACATAGTCAAATACATAATCAGTACCATCCTAACAAAAGGAAACACCCTGCTAATTTCATCCTAACAAAATGACCAACACTACTACATTATGGATTTAGCATCCATATTGAAATAACAATAATATTAAGTATAAAAATAAAAAAAAAACTAGCCCTATCAACACCTTCATCCATTTCTCCACAACCTTAACAGATTTATGCAAATCGCTCATCATCTTCGTTCCACCTCCCATTTCTCCTATCTTTGACAAACACTCATGCTTTTCTTCCCACTTCACATTCGTATAGCTTTTCTCACTACCATCGTCATAGCACCATTTGAAAAAATTACAACCACCTTCATGTCCATTCTATAAAAAAAGAACAATTTAAACGACTTTCTACTCAAACAAAACACTACTCACGAACGTTCTTTTACCTTGTACTTAGGGAAACCCCAAAATTGCTTCCCTCTATTCTTAACAGTTCGAGCTGTTCTTACCACCGTTTTCTCTCCAAAAAGGAAAAGGGGTGATACACCGTTAATCGTAGATACTCCACCACCATGAAAAACGACATTACACTTCTCATTCCACCACCCATTGCATGTCGAAGATGAACAAGAATGTGACTTCTGCAATTCATTATCCATTTCTTCGAATCGAACAAAGAATGCGATTTTTCCCCTTCAAATGAACCCTAATCATAAAAACCCCCAATTTTTTTTGTGTTTCAGTTGCATATCTCAATTTAAAGGTGACAGACAACCCTTAAAAGACAACCCTTAAAATTTTTAATTTTTCCACCTTAGCCCTTCCCTCGATCTGATATCACCTCTCTCCTTCAAATTTTTTTAAAACAAAACTCAATTTTAATGCCACATGTCATTACTCATTCAACTGAGCATGCCACGTTACCAAATATTAAACATCCATTTGGTGAATTTGACGGCAGGCCTCTAATTGAATCAAAATAATAATAAAAGGGACTCAATTGATACGCCAAAAAGAAAAGGGATCTATTTAAGATTTAGGACAAAAATAGGAACTTCTGGTGCGATTAAACCAAAATAAAATGATTCTCTTCACGATGGTGAAAATAAAATTAAATTTTTACTCATTTTTTTTAAATCTAAATTTGGGACATTACATCAAGTACATACTTTCTTAGTTGGGAAACATGAAAAACTGAATGGAGATTGGCCAACTGAGGGGGTAACGCAATTTCGTAAGCAACTGCCCAATTCTTCTCAAAATCTCGTATGGACCAATGAACTTAGGAGAAAGTTTCTTTGAACGAAGAGCCATTCCTATGCCAGTGGTTGAAGTCACTCGCAAGAAGACATGATCCCCGACTGCAAACTCCAACGGTCTTCTCCTTTGATTAGCATATGACTTTTGTCTACTCTGTGAAGCCTTCATTCTTTCTCGTATCAACTTTTCTTTGTCCGTGGTTTGTTGTAGTAATTCAGGTTCTACCAAAGCCCTTTCACCATCCTGGTACTAGCATAAAGGAGTTTGACATTGCCTTCCATATAGAGCCTCATAAGGTGTCATTCCAATACTAGCATGGAAGCTATTGTTGTAGGTGAATTCCACCAGAGGAAGTATTTCATCGCAACTACCCAAATGATCTAATACACAAGTTCTCAGTAGGTCTTCTAGCAATTGGATGGTTCTTTCAAATTGTCCATCAGTTTGGGGATGATACGTGAATCTCATTCGCAACTTGCTGCCCACAGCTTCTTACAGAGTTTGCCAGAATCTAGACTTTTATGTATAGTTGTGTCAGCTTAGCCTTTGACATCCTCAGATTTATTGCTAAAAAGTAAGCACTTTTTGTCAATCGATCAATGATGACCAGATAGCATCGTTACCTTTCACAGTTCGTGGTAAATGGGTAACAAAATCCATAGCAATGCTATCCCATTTCCATTCTGGTATGTCTAATTGTTGTAGCATTCCTCCAGGTCTCTAATGTTCCACTTTTTCTTTCTGACAAGTTAAACAAGCCGTTACGAACAATGCTACTTCCTTCTTCATTCCAGACGACCAAAAGGACTCATTGAGATCTTGATACATTTTAGTCATACCGAGATGTATGCTAAAATGACTCTTGTACCCTTCTTCAAGGATTAGTCTTTTTATCTCCTCATTTCCTTGTACACACTATATTTCTAAACCTTAGTAAAACTGGTGCGCTGGTCAACCTCTGCTTCAGCTTCAGGAAACTCCTTTCACACTTATCCGTCCAGAAAAATGGTTGATCTTTGCGAGTTAGCTGTGTTAAAGGTGCTACTATTCTCGAGAAACATTCTATAAACCTTCTATAGTAGCCAGCTAGACCCACAAAACTCCTTATTTTGGTAATAGTCTTTGGTCTTTCCCACTGCAGCACAGCTTCGACCTTAGCCGGATCCATAGAGATTCTGTCAGCCGATATGACATGTCCCAAAAATTGTACCTTTTTCATCCAAAACTCATATTTGGATAACTTGACGTACAACTTTTTCTCTCTTAACACCTCAAGCACTGCCTGAAGGTGATTGACGTGTTCTTCCCGAGTCTTGGAGTATATAAGAATGTCTTCTATGAAGACTACGACAAACTTATCTAAGAAAGGTCTAAATATTCTATTCATATAGTTCATGAATACGGTAGGAGCGTTGGTTACACAAAAAGGCATAACCACGTATTCATAATGTCCATATCTGGACCTAGAGGCAGTCTTTTGTACGTCCTGTGCCTTTACCAAAATTTGATGATAACCCGACCGTAGATCGACTTTTGAAAACACCTTCGCTCCATGTAACTAATCCATCAAGTTGTCGATTCTTAGCAACGAATATATGTTCTTGATGGTCAACTTATTTAACTGCCTATAATCTACACACAATCTAGAGCTCCCATCCTTCTTCTTGAACAACAACACTAGCGCTACCCAAGGTGAAACACTTGGTCTGATAAATTGCTTCTCAACTAACTCTTCTATTTGCTTTTTCAATTCTGCTAATTCAACTGGAGTCATCCGATACGGAGCGATTGATATTGATCCTGTACCTGGTACCAGATCAATTGAGAACTCAATTTCTCTTTGAGGAGGCAGTTTCGACACATCTTCAGGAAACACATCCATGAAATCACTCACCACTGAGTGATATACGCTCCTTCCACTCTTATCTACCTCCATATGCATCAACATTAAGAAACAACACGAACCTTCCTGTACTTCGTGCCACAATTGCCCCGAAGATGAAACTATCGACTCTTTGTCTTCAGGGAATAATAATTTCTTTGCACCACAATCTATGAGTGTAATTGAAAGTTAGTCAATCCATTTCTAAGATTACCTCTAAACCTTGTAGAGGTAAATAGATGAGATTAACTCTAAACTGACATCCCTTTACTGTTATAGGACATCTAGTACACACTAGAGATGTCTTGATCAACCTAGAAGCTGGAGTAGACACTACTAGGTCATACTGCAGTTCCTTTACACTCAACCCCAACTCTCGCACACAAACATCAGACACAAAGGAGTGCATCGTTCTAGAATCAAACAAAACACAGCAAGATTTTCCAAATAATAAACAATTGCCGATGATAAGATTACTTGATTTGGCAGCTTCTGCTCTCGTCAAAGCGTATACCCTTCCAGTCGCTTGAGGCCTATTGTCAGTCCTTCTCTGCTAAGGCGGTTGTTGAGGTTGAGGTGCTTCTCTTCTACTAGATGGACAATCTCTAGCAAAATGTTCTTCTGCTGCGCAAAGAAAACATTTGTTGCGTGCAACAACTTGTGGACAAACGCTCTTCAGATGAGGTCCTCCATAGACGTAACATCGGATTATCCTCTGCTGGGGCTGGTGCTGTTGATGAGAATTCTTCTAATGTTACGGTCTTTCATAAGGTCGGATCCTTACATTATGTCCAGCTCGTGACCCAAATGGTCCGCCCACCCGTTGAAACTTCTGTTGAGCCTCAATCTTGCCTCTTAACCTTTCTACCACTTTGGCTTGTTCAACTAAAACAGAAAATTCCTTAATAATTAAGGGATTCACTGCTAATTGTATATCTGCTCTTAATCCATTTTTGAATTTTTTACACCTTCATTCTTCATTAGTTGGTTAGGTATAGAAATGTCCCAAATGCTTAAACTACAAGAACTCCACTTCCTTTGCATGTCTTATGCTGTCCGGAAAGTACTCAGCATAGAATTTGTTCTTAAAAAGCTCCCAAGTAAGAATCTCACCACTTTCTTCTAATGCTAGTTTCATGTTGTTCCACCAGTGTATTGCTTTCCTAGACAACTGATACTCCGAGTATGCCAACCTTGTTTTTGATGGGCACCTTTTTGCATCAAAGATCTTTTCCATATTTCTGATCCATATATCCGCCTCATCCGGACTTGTCCTCCCATTAAAGCTAGCTAGACGGTGTTGCAAAAAGTTTTCTAAGGTCCACTCCTGAACCCTATGAGGTTGGGCTTCCCTAGTCGTG